GCTTTTTGTGATTGTCCCAATGAGAGTTCCAGTAGATGAAAGTCATGTCTTCCTCCTCTATCAGGACTGGGCTCTTGGCCTCATCTTTTTGAAAATCTGGACTAGACTGGTCAGTACACTTTTTTTTTTGTATCGCATAGAAAATATGTAGCATGTCACTAAAAATGAAAACAATGGACAGATAATATGCCTGGATGGTATTTGGAGAGCAAAGTTTGAGAGGGTGAGAGAAGATGGATTCTCAAGGCTTCAAGGGTTATGGGTACTTAAAGAGATTGTATTACCGATCATGATGAAACTGCTAACAGCATTATGCGTGCCTTATGTCCTGGCGAGAGGAGTCTTCCCCATGCTCGGATTTCCGCTGGTTGTGAACTTGACGGTCTATAGATATGCTTGGATAGGTTGTCTCTGGGTGAGCCTCGTGTGCTTCTTTGCAAAGAGATGCCATGTGTGGTTCAGGAACCTTCACAACTCTATTCGTGATGACCGTTATCTCATTGGTTGGGGACTCCATAACTTTGAGGAAGCCGTTTTGGCTCACCAAACCAAAACCAAAGCAGTGAGGATGCAGAAGATGGTGGTGTCTTGATAGGATGTGAGGAGGATGCTGACACTTAGGCTCAAACGTGCAATCCAACGAGAAGCAGATTAGTGTTTTGTGAAGTGATGAAACAGTTTGAAACTCTTAACATTTGTGTGCTTAAAAGATTTTTTATTAGTGGATATGTAATTAGATATATATATATATATATATCCATTGATCATCTTTTTGTGTGTATTAGCATTAGAGTAAATCATATTACTCTAAATAAATTTGTAATCAATCCATCATTTGACTTAGGCTCACACATGCAATCACATGAAACTTAGAAGTTAATAAGAATAGTGTTTTGTATCAAACAGTTTGATGTTTTACATTTGTGTGCTTAAGCCGTAAAAGAGTGATTTCAAAAGAATCTCCTATATATATATTAATTGAGAAACATTTGAAAAGATATAAATTTAAGTTTGTATTAATTAAAAGAATAACACCATCCTACGTGGCAGTTCTTTATGCCTTCTAATTCAATTTAAAAGGATTCTAGAGCATCTTATATAAACTATAGTCTAAAAATATACTCTCTAACAATATAATACTTTTAAGATAAAATGACATTATGTCTGTTTAACATGAATATTGGTTCAGTTTTACATTGTTTTTTAACCTCCTAAAATATAACTATCATTCTAAATCTATATTTATTTTGTTTGTTTGATTTAAATGTATGATGTTTTTTGATTTTTTTTATAATAACCAAAAAGTATTGTTATTTGTTTGTTTTCCTTTTATATAAAGTTTTGACATTTTTTATGTCGAACTAATAGTTTCCTATTATAATTTCTAAAGATATGTAAAATCAAATAGAATCTAAATAATATTTGAAAAAAAGAAAATAAAATTATTAACATAAAACATTTCACCACAATTTGAAAGATAATGAAAGAAAACATTAATAAAAAAAATTAACATCAATAAGAATTAAAATTATCACTTGTAGTGAATATTTAGTTATATAGTCGTTCATGTAAATGTGTACATGTATGTATATGTAAAAGTATATAAATGTGATGATAAATATATGAATATACCGTTAGCTAAGATTTAAAACATTTTTGTTCAAAATAACACATGATAGTAAATTCTTAAATAAAATTAAGAAAAGATAAAACAAACCTAGAAATTAATAACATTTTTCATATGAAGAAAATTAAATTGTACCCGTAAACAATAAAATAATATATATTATAAAGTGACATCTTCACTTGGTACCTGAATTCTGTTTTTAATCAATTTTGTGATTTTTATTTCTTTTTAAAGCTTTTCTGATTTCTGATTTTTTTCTACCAATTTGATTTTATTTATAATTCTTGGTCTGATATGAAAACTTTATAAAAATGTTAATATTTGACTAAACTAAAGATCCGACTTTACGTGTGGTGTTTTTCACCTCAGCTTCTTTAATTAATAATCAATCACTTTATTTGTTGTTATTGTCTACCGAAGCCTCAACCATGGCCAACTTCGGAAAGGTACACAACTTTCAATTTCTACAAATATTTCCATCCCAACATTTTAGTTGATGCGAATTTTAATAATCTTGTAATTTTTTGAGATAAAGATATTATTCATTAGTTTCACGTAGAAAGTTTTAATTTATTAGCTAAAAATGTAGAAAATGAATTAAGTAAAAAAATAGTGTATAAACACATTAAATAATGAATTTTAAAAATTAGTATGTGAACGGATTTATTGTCAAATGATTGTGAACCCGACACGTGTAAATTATAGTGTGGACGCATTTATTACAATGCTTCTCTTTTAATATATAAGGGATTTCGAAGACTATAGCTAGTCGCATATATCAAATATTTATTGTTCTACAGACTTTCCTTAAATAAAAATTACGGAATTACAAAATGTGATTAATATATATATATATGCATTCTAATTCAATTAGAAGGATTCTAGAGCATCATATATAAACTATTGTCTAAAAATTATACTGTCTAGCAAATATTATTCGAAGACTATAGTTAGTCGCATATATCAAATATTTATTATTCTGCAGGCTTTCCTTAATTAAAACCTACAGAATTACCTAATGTGATTAAAAAATATATATGGCAGTTAATGATTCTAAACAATAAAGATTTGATAACAATCTATATACTTTTTATCATTTTGTATATTTCTTTATTATTAAAATAAATTACACAATTACATTAATCATTAATAAAAATCTATATATTTGTGTATGTTGTATTTCAAAATTTTGAAAACCAGTATAAATTACTAAAACTGTTAAATGAGCTTTTATGATCAAGGTTTAATTTTTTTTTTCTATATTAAAATACAATTATTATAAGATCATATGAAAAAATAATTTTATTTAAAAAGTTTTTATGTTAACACACACACACACACATATATATATATATATATATATTCTACATTAAGATACAATTATTCTTAGAGCATATGAAAAAATAATTTTATTTTAATAGGTTTTATGTTAACATATTCACATATATGTATATATATACATTATATCATTTAAATTAAACTATACATCGTATGAAAATACATACTAATATTTTTATATTTGCGTTGAACATATATTGGAAAGTTAACATTTTAATTTTAAAATCTATCATTGTTTTTTTAAATGATTATAACTTATTGAAACTATTAATCATCTCACATTAAAAAAAATCATTGGTATAAAAATTTGTTATACAAATATGCAAATAATCATAAAATCATATGCGTAAAAGTGATTATAAGTGTGCTATATATCTATGTTAATATCATTTAAAGTTAATTATATATCATATAGGATAGATAAAATTGATTATATTGATTTATTTATCCTAATTGCGAATAAACAAGAGTGATTGTTAGATTTATATGCACACACCAATTTATTACATAATATTAAGTGATTTCATAGTTATTTAATATATATACTTATTATTTTATTATTTAATAATATGCAGAAAAACATAAAATAAATATAAAATATTTATTCTACAAAAAGTACAGATCTTAACTTAAGTATGTGTCTATTTAATTATTTGAAATCTTAAGTATTATCTAAATTTTAGGCCAAAACAAACAAACGAAATGAGATAAACTTCAAAATCAATATTTATATCGAACAATAACCAAAATGGAAAAAAAAACACAAAAAGAGAAATATGAAGATAGATATGATTGACACGTGGACGTAAACTTCTCATAACCATAATTAATTTTTAAATTTCTAAATCATGATATAAACTGAGCTGACATAGTTTCACTGTAATCATGTAAACCCAAGATTTTTAATCTAAACGTTAGGTTATTTGCGGTAAGTGATATTTTGACTTAAAACATTTTTAAAAAATGAGATCAACTCATCAGTAAACAAATTATTTAATTAAAAATATTTTAAAAATTGTTTAAAGACCAAAATATTAATTCAATCAAGAATATAGATTTATTTTTCCATATAATTTTAAAAATAATTTTTATATAAATTTATCCTACGCAAAGCGCAGATCTTATCCTAGTCTTTTATTAGTCGATATGTTATATATATCTGTTGATCCTCATTTGTGTGTCTATCCCTTATATATTATTTGCGAAGTGATTTTTCCACATGTATTCTTTACAATTAGTTTCATAAAAAAAATGTGACATGACTATTAAAATTGATGACATGGCTTATGGCAAAATATGACATGGATAATTACATTTAATATTGATTTATATTTTTGGTACATTTTTTAAATATGGTAATAATGCATACTTTACATTTAATGTTGATGTTAATTTATTGTAAAAATTTAAATATGGTAATAACTCATAAATCATCTTTAAAATAAATATAGTCAAATATACATTACAAATTTTGAAATATTATTCTATTTTATTTATATTATACAATTTGTATTACTAAAGTTTTCAAAAGTTTCTGCAATTTTTTATAAATAAAATTTCTAATCGTAGTTTCTTATATATCTACAAATTTCGTAAATACTGTTTAGTTTAAATTTTTGATAATTTTACAATTTTATATCACTGTTAAATTTTATACTGTGTAACTCAATATTTTTAAACAATATAATGAGTAGAAAATTATATATATGACTATAATTTTAAATATATACATATATATATTCTTAAATATAAATTTTAAATAACCAAAATGATTTTATCTTAATTTAATGTTTAACTAAATCAAATCTCTATATTTAAATATTGGTGAGAAAATAATAATATCCATAATATTAATAAAATTTATTATTAAATATAATTTAAACTTATTAAATTACTCCTAGTTAACATTAAATTAAATCATATACTCCAAATAATTTTGTAATCAATCCATCGTTGACTTGAAGCACAAGAAACAAAAGAAAAAAGGAAACAAAACAAAATCTAACAACGAAACAAAGTAGTGAAGTGGAAAGAATTAGGGTTTAGTGCGTGAAGAAGACTGAGGGATCGGGGAGACAGAGAACTTCATGTTGTGGTTGCAGCCGTTGTGATCTCCACTAGCGAAGTAGTAAGTCTCATGAGTCTTGCGGAGAAGCAACTTAAACCCTAATGATGAGCCTCCTCTTGCGACTAGCTTCTTGCCGCTGCTCACATCGCATCTCTTGTAGCTCTTCAAATCTGGAAGCAAGTAGACATCGTTCTTGTTGTTGTTGTGCCTCTTGTTGGATTGACTTTTATCGTTGAACTTGAAAACAAGGACATCGTTGGTGTGGAAGGGTGCATGCTTTGAAGCCCATTCTTGGTAGTCGAATCCGTTCTTCCACACAGTAATTTCAATCTTTCTTCTACGCGATACTTGAGCCGTGTGGTTGTTGTGTGAGGAGCCAATAATACTACCGCTTGTGTGGTTTGAGCCCGAGTTATGCTTGTTGTGTGTAGAGCCAGAGTGGTTTTGGTGGCTTTTATGTATAGAGCCGGTGCCGCTTGAGCCAGAGCTGCTTCCCCAACCCCAGTTTGTATCTGTTCCGTTCGAGCTCCATCCCCAACCCCAGCTTGAACCACCACCCGAGTTCGAGTTTGAACCTCCTGAACCAGAGTCAGCGTTGTTGTCGGAGCCCCAACCCCATCCCCAGCTCGAACCAGATTGGCCAGAACCCCAGCTCCAGCTCCATGCATGAGCACTACCGGAAAAGAGGTAAGCAGTGAGCACGAGGGCTAAGAGTAGCTTGTTTGCCCTAGGAATACCCATAGCTTCTTATTCTTTGATTAAAAAAAATAGATTGCTTTTTATTTATTCTTTGTTTTCGTTCTCGTTGTTTGCTTTTGTGAGATATCGAGAGTTGGGAAGTTCTTTATTTATAGACTAGGATGATCCCTAGCCACTGAGAGTCGGTTTTAAAGATAAGGAAATATTAAATCTGATAATCTTATCTCCAAAATTAAACATTAAAAGGATTTTCTTTTCCCCGTTTTAAAATACTCACTAGGTAATAATCCGCGTCTTGCGCAAACTGAGATTATGATTTTTGTTACTTTTAAATGAAAATGATATTATGTAGTTTAAAAAAAATTATATTATGTTTGTTTAGCATTGATATTGGTTTACTTTTACGTTGTTTTTTAATGTCCTAAAATATAACTATCATTGTAAATTTATATTTATTTTGGTTTGTTTGGTTTAAATAATTGATGTTTTTAATTTTTTCGATGATAACCTAAGACTATTGTTATTTGTTTGGTTTCATTTTATATAAATTTTAGACATTTTTTATGTCGAATGAATAGTTTCCTATTATAATTTCTAAAGATATGTAAAATCAAATAAAATCTAAAAGAAAAAAAAAATTCTTAACACAAAACATTTCACTACAATTTGAGCGATTGTGAAAGAAAACATTAAAAAAATAATTCAACTTCAATATGAATTAAAATTCTCACTTATAGTGAATATTTAGTTATATAGTCACTCATGTCAATGTGTACATGTATGTATATGTAAAAGTATATAAATGCGATGATAAATATATGAATATACCTTTAATTAAGATTTAGAACATTTTTGTTCAAAATAAAACATGATAGTAAATTCTTAAATAAAATTAAGTAAAAATAAACAAACCAAGAAATTAATAACATTTTTCATATGAAGAAAATCAAATTGTACCCGTAAACAATAAAAATAATATATATTACAAAGTAAAATCTTCACTTGGTACCTGAATTTTTAATCGATTTTGTGCTTTTTATTTCTTTTTAAAGCTTTTTTGATTTTTTGATTTTCTTCTACCAATTTGATTTTGTTTCTAATTCTTGGTCTGATATGAAAACTTTATAAAAATGTTAATATTTGACTAAACTAAAGATCCAACTTTACGTGTAATGTTTTTCACCTCAGTTTCTTTAATTCATAATCAATCACTGTATTTGTTGTTATTGTATGCCAAAGCCTCAACCATGACCAACTTCGGCAAGGTACGAAACTTACAATTTCTATAAACATTTTCATCGCAACATTTTAGTTGATGCGAATCTTAATGATTTTGTAATATTTTTACAATAAAGACATTATTCATTAGTTTCACGTAGAAAGTTTTAATTTATTAATACAAATGTCAAAAATGTAGGAAAAATGAATTAATTAAAAATAGTATATACACATATTAAATAATAAATTTAAAAAATTAGTGTGTGAACGCATTAATTGTCAAATGATTGTGAATCCGACACGTGTCAATTATGGTGTGAATGCATTTATTACAATACTTCTCTTTTAATATATAAGAGATAGCAGATGTCAATTTTCATTGTGGTGTCTCTAAAATCAGATCATGAAGGAATTTCCTTTGCGAATTTGTATATATAAACAAGTGGATATATACATAGCGTTTGTTAATTTTATTTTATGAATCTTTCTTATTCATCATATAGGATTATAATTGATTTTGGTACAATTGTATTGTTGGAATAATATATGCCATTAGATATAAAAGTTTCTCATGTTTACTTTTTCTTAAATAAAACACTTCAAAATTGTTATTAAAGTGGATCCGGAAGGTTTTTGGATAGGTTCTTCGGGCCAGAAATTAGCATCGCATGATATAACTCTTCACGCTGAGACTGAAGTGTTAGTCTAGGCTATGAAAATCATGTTTCAACATTCTATAGTTCAAGTTTTGTGCATAGTAAATAAGTGATATCAATGACTCAGCAACCTAGATTAAGAAAGCATTTTCGTCTATTTTAGATAGTTAACTTCGTCTTTTAGCCAAGAGTGTTGTTTCGTTTCATCAAAAACTATTACCTATCAATTATTTGTTTCGATTTCTAGTTAGAAGACTAATAATTCATGATTAACAGAATATCATTAAGATGACGACTGTCGATGAAACAAACTTTTACAGAGATCCATCGCTTCATTTTTTGTTTCTTTGACAAATAATCTGATTGCTTTATTGTTCTTTTGTTTTTGTGAGTACTGAGAGATGAGAGGTATCTTTTTATAGAGAGTAAGACGAGCCCTGCTCAAAGTCCGTTCCTAAACGTAAAAAGGAAATATGAATTCTGCTTTATCTTATCAACAATATCAATAATGAAAAAGGTTTCTATTTTTCCTTTTTATAATATTCTTATGAAATATGAGATGTGAATGTGTTGTTTAAAAATCGAACATAAAGGGATTTTACTTTTGTTTTTTACACTAACATTAACCTGTACCTCAAGTTTCACTTCACTTTTGTGTGTCTAAGATCACCCCATCAATGAATTTGGGGAAGTGGGCTCACAACTTTATTTATTTTCGTTTGATTTAAAAAAGAAAAAAAAATAAGCGGACCAGTCGCAGGCCGCCACATGGTATGGGGCCCGGAAAATAGTTATGAAACGAGTTCAACCGGAAGTTTCCCTGCGATCCGAGTTCACCATTTTCCAAAATTATAATATTTTTTGGGATGTGTGAGAGCTTGCCCCTTTAACCTTCAATAGGGATGCTCTAATTATTTTATATATCATGATATGTTTCCTGTGCTTCCAACATAAAACTAACTAGATTTTGATCCGCACGACCATGCGGATTTTCTTTTTTTATTTATAATTTATAAAAAATATTATCAAATAATAATATATTTATTTATAAAATCTAACAAAATACTAAAGTGATAGATGTTAAAATATCATGTAAACAGAACATGAAAATATAAATTATCATTAAGAAATATTTATCTATAGTATAACTAAAAAGTTGTTAAAACGTATTGTATACAAATTACAGGAACTAAAAATCTATATTATAGAAGATTACATATTTGATTATTTATCAAAATTAAAATATATTAGTGAGTAATAACAATCAATAAAAATATAAATTAAAATAAAATAAATAAAACAAACTACTATATATTAATAATGACGAATAAAAAACTTAAACAACCAACTTATAGAGTTATATAATATATAACATTAAATGTAAATCATACATTCTTAATTTTTTATAATACTATCAAAGTTGTTTATTTATAAAATGAGAAATCTGTGTAGGTTAAACTTTAGTATATGGTTTTTATTTAGATTTTAGGAATATATAGTGCTATCTAGATAAATTTTAATTTCTTAAACAAAAACATTGTATTTCAAATAAAAGATAAAAACATATGGTGATATTATAATTAAAGTATGTAAAATTTGCTAACTGTTTTAAAGAATGGTCCAGATAAAAAAAATTATACTTGAAATAACTCATGACTTTGTTTTGATAGGATAGATAGAAAAATATATAATATATTATTTTTTATATTTTAAATAGAATTTCAGTATTTGTTTATAATATAATCTATTTAAATTTTGTAAATAAGTATTTTAGAAACTCCAGAAATTTATATTATTATTTCTCATTAAAATATAATTTAAAATATTTTAGATAATTTTAAATTTTCCTTTATTAATAAAGATAATTTTTAAATGATATTTTATGATAATTAGAATTTAAATTAAATGATGTACGGAAATACAATTTAAAAAGATGTCAAAAATATTTTGTTAGATTTAAATCATTTTTGTTTCAAATAGAAAGATAAATATATTTAAAGATATTTTCATTAAATTAGGTAACATTTGATAATCCTGATAATCTTTATAAAGTGTCCAGTTAAAAAAAAATCACACATGATTCAAAGTTGTGCCTTCTGTTTTAATATATAGGATTGGCAATTGGTGATTGACCCAAGTCCTTTATATATTATTCATGTACCATTCATATTTCTAATATGAGATCTTTATTCTAATAACTTTCCTCGAAATAATGGTTCATATAACTAGTAATTTCACAGAATCCATCATACCTTTCCGAGTTAATGTTTTTTTTAGCTATCTCGAAGAAATTGAGCTTTTTTTGGACCATCATTTCGTGAGATGATCGGACCATTGTCTCGGGCCGGATTAATGGGCCAGGGTATGGGCCAACTCGATTATCATAATAAGTTTTATTAGGTTTCCAACTTAAAACTAATTGGCAATTAGTGAATTGATTCAAATCTCTTATATATTATTTATGTTATATTCATATTTTTAATGTGTAAGCTTATCCCAAGTATATTCAAGTAGGACTTCCGTTGGTTAGTAAAGAACCGATGTTCAAGTTCCAAGAGAAAACAAAGCTTATTTAAACTGCAAATCGGAAATAAGGTAAAATATATAACCGACAAATGATATCTTCCAAAGGCTTCATTACAATTTGGGCCTTAACTGTGAAGGAAATGTGTAATAAAAGGATAGGACTCTTGTGCATTTGCACCTTGCGTTATAAACTTTTGCAAGTTAAGTGTCAAGAATCATGAGCAGGTCTTGTATTTTCTGAGAATGAATGAGATCCGATGTGAACAGATTAGATCCTGAGTAATATGGGGATCATATGTTTTATTTTTCTTTTTCCTGAAAAGGCATATATGGGGATCATATGTTAACTGTTAAATTCAAGAAACATATAATTTTCTCTACAAATAAACTTTAGATTATTGTTAATCAATCTCTAGATTAATATCAAAATTAACTATTCTAAATTGGTAAATAGTCTAACAACTTAACAAAATATTCTTAACAGACAATACTGCGCGCTAAAAAAAGAATTCTTTTACACTGATTTGTTGTATTACAAATTGCGAGAATGGTTATTAGGCCATTTTACAACCGACATATATTTACATACACCACATATATATCTTACAGAGTTCTTTTTTATCTGCATAATCTATCTATCTA